TCACACCTGTCAGAATGGCTAGAATCAAAAACACAAGAAATAACAAGTATTGGGGAAGATATGGAGAAAAAAGGAACTCTCAGGCACCCTTGATGGGAAGGTAAATTGGTGCAGCCACCATGGAAAACAATATGGAGGTTCCTCAAAAAATTAAAAATAGAAACACTATAACACTATATGACCCAGTAATTCTACTTGTGGGTATTTACCCAAAGAAACCAAAAACTCTAATTTAAAAAGATAATGCACCCCTATGTTTATTGCCAAGACATGGAAGCAATTCAAGTGTCCATCGAGAGATGAATGGATAAAGATGTCTTTCTCTCTCTCTCTCTCTCTCACACACAAACACAAACACACACACACACACACACACACACACTGGAATATTACTCAGCTATAAAAAAGAATGAACTGGGGCGCCTGGGTGGCTCAGATGGTTAAGCATCTGCCTTCGGCTCAGGTCATGATCTCAGGATCCTGGGATTGAGCCCCACGTCAGGCTCCCTGCTCAGTGGGAAGCCTGCTTCTCCCTCTCCTTCTCCTGCTCCCCCTGCTTGTGCTCTCTCACTCTCTGTCGAATAAATAAATAAAATCTTAAAAAAAAAATGAACTACTGCCATTGGTGACAACACGGATGGACCTAGAGGGTACTATGCTAAGTGAAATACGTCAGAGAAAGACAAATACCATATGATTTCACTTATGTGTGGAAACTAAATAAAAAACAGAAACAGATTCATAAATCCAGAGAACCGGTGGTTGCCAGAGGGGAAGGGGGGGGATGGGCAAAATAGGTGAAGGGGATCAGGAAGTACAACTTTCAGTTATAAAATAAGCAAGTCACAGGGTGCAAAATACAGCATGAGAAATATAGTCAATAATAGTGTAATAACTTTGTATGATGACAGATGAGAATTACCGTTACTTGTATGCTGGTATTTCATAATGTATGTAACTGTCAAATCACTATGTTTTACACCTGAAACTAATAATGTAAGTTAACTATATTTCTATAAAAAAATTTTCCCTATTTAAAGGAAAATAAGCAAGGTTGGCATTATTTGTAGATGTTAGTATCTGAAAAAGGAAAACAAGAAAAAATATCTAAAAATTCAGGAATCTCAATTAGAAAATTATTAGAATAGCTTAGAAAAACTGTAGAATAAGTTATACGTTTCAAAAAGTCAACTACATCCCTATGTCAAAGACACCATAGAAAAATCCACAAAATCGGGGGCGCTTGGGTGGCTCAGTTGGTAGGCGTCCAGCTCTTAATCTCAGCTCAGGTCATGATCTCGGGGTCATGGGTTCAAGCCCTGTGTTGGGCTCCACACTGGGTGTGGAACCTACTTAAAAAAAAAAAAAAAAAATTCCACAAAACCAGATTTCTTTTCCAATAAAATAACATTTAATAACAGGGTATTAATTTCTTTACTAGTTTTTTAAATAAAATTACACAACTACAATTTTAAAAACGAGAGCAAAAAATCCTTGAAGGATACTTTACAGAGCTTGATAATGTGCTGGTGAAATTCATCTGGATAAATAAGCAGGCAGATATCCTTTTAATAAGAGCTCTTGAGAGCAGACATATACTAACCTTTCAATACCTTCTAAGAACAAATTTCAGAAAAGCTCAATTTTAAGAACTTTACATATAAATAAACCCAAACTACATAACAAGAAAGGATCACTACTTTTCAGTAAATACTGTTGGGCTATTTAGTTACTAGCACGAAGACAAATTACAATACTGTAGCAAATTCTAAATAAGTTAATTTGAGGGGCACCTGGGTGGCTCAGTCGGTTGAGCATCTGCCTTCGGCTCAGGTCATGATCCCAGGGTCCTGGGATCGAGCCCCACATTGGGCTCCTTGCTCAGCGGGGAGCCGGCTTCTCCTCTGCCTGCCGTTAACCCTGCTTGGGTACTCTCTCTCTCTCTCCCTCTGTCAAATAAATAAAATCTTTAAAAAAAAAACAAACAGTATGGCCTCCATAATTTCTTCCCCAATCCTCTGCTCCCTCAACATAACAAAAGCAAAAAAGTGATGAGGAAATAATCACTCTTTCCTGTGACCATCAGCCTGTCACCGTCCATTACTTGTGTTGTTTTATGGCCCTCATCATCTTCTCCACTGTGTCACATTACTTAAGTGCCTGTTGCTTAGCCCCCATCAGAGCACAGCAGGTGCCTTTAAGACTGTCTCTATCTTGGGCGCCTGGGTGGCTCAGTTGGTTAAGCAACTGCCTTCGGCTCAGGTCATGATCCTGGAGTCCCGGGATCGAGTCCCGCATCGGGCTCCCTGCTCGACAGGGAGTCTGCTTCTCCCTCTGACCCTCCCCCCCCATGCTCTCTCTCTCTCTCATTCTCTCTCTCAAATAAATAAAATCTTTAAAAAAAAAAAAAAAAGAAAGAAAGACTCTCTCTTAATGGCCCCTTATATAAAACAGGTGGTCCACAAATATTTCTTGAACTAATGCATATCAGAATAGAAAACAAATCTTTCTGAAGATAAAATGTTTTTTCAAGTAGAAAAACATATACATGAACAAATGATAAAATCCTTTCCAAAATATTACAAAGAATGGATAAAACAAGGTTGACCCCAGATTCTAACTGATAAGTGATTAAGGGTGAGGAATACATTCTCCACACATGGGAAAATAGAGAGAAAATCATATCTTAGGGTGCCTGGGTGGCTCAGTTGGTTAAGCGACTGCCTTCGGCTCAGGTCATGATCCTGGAGTCCCGGGATCGAGTCCCGCATCGGGCTCCCTGCTCAGCAGGGAGTCTGCTTCTCCCTCTGACCCTCCCCCCTCTCATGTGCTCTCTCTCATTCTCTCTCTCTCAAATAAATAAATAAAATCTTTAACAAAAAAAATCATATCTTAGTCATTAATGTCCGTTTTCCCACAACTCTGCACAACTATTAAATTAGTAAAAGATAAGTTAAATCCAACGTTGGTGGAGGAAAACTTATAGATCACTGTTAACTGGCTCCATCATTCTGAAGAACAATCTGATACCATGTGAGGGGCCAGTCCATGTTTTGTTTTGTTTTTTTAATTAAGTTGGATCCACACCCACCATGAGGCTTGAACTCAGGACCCGAAGCCAAGAGTCACATGTTCTACCAACTGAGCCAGCCAGGTGCCCCAATCCATGCTTTAATTCAGAAATTCCACTTCAGGGAGAAGACTAAAATTTCATCATCCCTCACTTTCACAGGCCCCTTCCCCTGCTTTATTTTTTTTAAGATTTTTTTTTTTTATTCATTTGACAGAGACACAGCGAGAAAGGGAACACAAGCAGGGGAAGGGGGAGAGGGAGAAGCAGGCCTCCTGCAGAGCAGGGAGACCGATGCGGGGCTCGATCCCAGGACCTTGGGATCATGACCTGAGCTGAAGGCAGACACGTAACGACTGAGCCACCCAGGCGCCCCTTATTTTTACTTTTTAAAGTTTATTTTTCTTTAGTAATCTCTACACCCAATGTGGGGCTCGAAATCACAACCCTCCGACCGGGTCACATGCTCTACAGACTGAGCCAGCCAGGTGCCCCTTCCCTGTTTTACTTATAGCACTTAACACAGTCTAACTCTACATAGATTACTTCTCAATTTGTTGCAGGCAGGGACCTGCTTTGTCATGGTCATACCCTCACTGCCTAACAGCAGCCTGCCATATAGAAGGTATTTAATATTTGCTGAGTGACTGAATGAAAGTTCTAAGGAAACAAGTATTTGCCCCCACCTCCAAATAAGTATGGTATATAAAATTCATAGGGCACCTGGCTGGCTCAGTCAGTGGAGCATGCGGCTCTTGATCTCAGGGTTTTGAGTTCGAGCCCCATGTTGGGCATAGAGATTGCTTAAAAATAAAATCTTCATAATATTTTTTAAGATTGTATTTATTTGAGAGAGAGATAAAGCACCCAACTGTGCACCCAGATGCCCCCCAAATAAAATTTAATGAGATTAAAAATAATAATAAAATAATATTCGTAACATAATTTATAATTACAAACCCCAGAACCTACACGCTCAGAGAATAGCTGAGCAAATTAGAATAATGACACCATAAAATGCTCAGTAACCATTAAACATTAAAATTTAGTGAACTCGGGGCACCTGGGTGGCTCAGTTGGTTAAGCGACTGCCTTCGGCTCAGGTCATGATCCCGGAGTCCCGGGATTGAGTCCCACGTCAGGCTCCCTGCTTAGCAGGGAGTCTGCTTCTCCCTCTGACCCTCCTCCCTCTCATGCTCTCTGTCTCTCATTCTCTCTCTCGCAAATAAATAAAATCTTAAA